AAGTGTTCAATAAGTGGTTCATTTAACTTATTATTATTATTATTCCCAGGCTACAGATAAGGAACACCAAGGTGTGTTATCTCTTAGAACAGAGATTTTTATACAATAAATGCTCAATAAGTGGTACCTATCTTTTATTATTCTCATTACTATTCCTGTTACTCCCAATTTGGAGACGAGAAAATCTAGGCAGCAAATCTGTACAGTAAGCCCTCAGTAAATGTTGGGTCTTGGAATTGTTGCTATTATCCCACACCCACAGATGAAGCCCCAGGGAGCATTATCTTGGGCCCAGCTGACCCCAGGCCCAGGCTTGGATCCCCTGCCCCACTGACACCACTGGCCTGCTTCAACCCAGCCTCCAGGAATCTTTAGGGAGCTTCAGCATCTTCTTCATCATCCTCTCTGTGTCACACAAATGGGGACAGCCTGGACATTCTGCTGACCTGGCTTCCCTGTTCACTGGTCGGGTGACCTCAGGCAAATTGTTTAATGTCTCTAAAATTCAATGACCAAATTTATAAAATAGTGATACCAATTGCATGGAACTTATTATTAATCTGGCCATCTCCTCACTCCTCTTGAAATCTCTTCTGAACCCCTGGGAAGGCTAAATGGCCCCTCATGAGGATTCAGCACAGTACACTGAGATAACTGGTACATTAAGTCATCTCATGCAACCAAAACTGCTAAGTACATTTACCCACTTCCCCTCAGAATATCACACAAATCAGTAAATGCCCTGGTCTGGATGCACCTTCTTTTTCTTCCCCATCTGTCTCTGCCTCTGGCCACTCCCACTGGGAGATCTAGTAACCTCAACTGCTGTTTCCTGTGACACCGCCTTTGCTCATGCCATTCTCTCTGGTTGAAACACTCTTCTCAGTTTGCTTTGTCTCAGTAAATATTGCTTGCATGCAATCCAGAGCTAGTGGATAATACATCCAAGTACTCCCACAGACATCTTCATATTGTGTTAATATATTATTTCATTACTATTTATTGAAGGGCGCCATGTATTCAGCTACATTATCTTAAGAAGAATGGAATTGATCTGCCTTATTCATGATTCTGCAGCCAGTCCCTAGTAAAGTTAAGAGTCCACCCTACGTGAATCCTACCCATGCTACGGTGGACACATTAAAAATGGCCAGTTTGGTGATAATTTGAGCATTAATAAATAGTGACAGTAACAGGGAAGGCAGGGGACTGGTCAAGATTGGAGGAGACTAAAAGGACAAAACAGCTAAATAGCATATTGAATAAAAAAAATCCATAAGGACACTTACAAAAAAAAAAGAGAGAGGAAAAGGAAAAAAAAAAACTTTTTCACAGAAGAATAACAGCTAGTAAATAAGGAAGGAAAGATAGAATTTAAAGATCATTTTGTAATCCACATTGAAGTAATTGATTCAGGGATGAATGACTAGTGGATGCAGACTGAGAAGGGTATTTCAACCACTGGGTCAAAGGCTATTGAGAAGCAGGATACTCACATGTTCTCAAAGTTTTATCCTGCAGGGTGTTTATGAATACTGAAGAAGGATGTGCCTTTACAATGGGGACATTGGACATTGGAGAGCTACCACCTGATCCAAGGCCAAGTTTAGCATTGCTGGTAGAGGGACAGTTTGACCTTATATTCCTCCTGATGTGTTGAATGGCAGGTACACATCACCACCAACGTGGGGTTCTTGATGAAAATGCTTAACTTAAAACTAATC